AACTGAATTAGCTTGCAATACTAAATTGTGCAAGAGAGACTCCAGCTAACTCATTATATATTTATTGTTGAAAGGATGACCATGACCTATGTAACATGTATTTACATATTTAAAGCTATAGTCAATATGAAAATGAATGAATAGGTGTATTCATGTACGACTGTATTGGCACAACACTGTAAACTGACTATAACTCAATTAAAAAAAAAAAAAGAAAATCCAGATTTGTATTACGGAAACAATGCCACTCTTCTCAATGTTTTTGTATTGGAAAATACAGCTAGTTTATAAAAAATATTTTATTCATGTTAACATACAATAAACAGCTTGTGTTTATTGATGTTGTGTTTAAATGCATTAATAAAGAAATATTTCTAAAAAAATAAAGCTATAGTCACTTCACTATTTGAAAATCCACAGTGTGGCTGAAAAATAGAAATTACTCTTTAGGTTATATAATGATTGATTAAAGATTTCTATCGTGTGATCACTACCCCCATATCAGTAGATTTTTATAGATGAAATACACATAAATCAAGGAATTTTTATTTATAGCTTTCTTATAGTGGGTAGGAAAATAATATATTAGTAGAAAACTATTGTGGTTTTGGAACAGAAATTATTTCTGTATGATATTCCATAGTCATAAAATTAGATAAAAAATATATCTAAGAACTTATGCTGAGAAAAGAAATAAAAAGGAAATTATTTCAATTATAGTAAAGCAAGTATATACATGCCATACTTGAAGGGTGATTTTTTTGTTAAATAAAGGCATTTTAAACACAAATTGAGAACTTCAGTGACTGATGTTCTAAAACTGGGTTAGACCAGTATTGTCAGTCAGTATAATCCTGACTCATTAGTGGCTGTGAAATAATTCAATGTGTCATGACAATATTTTTAATAACATGCAATAATATGTCAAACAGCATTATATGTAAGAGCAATGTTTCATGCAAATTCTTTTTATTTATACGTACTTAAGTATACTTAAGTACGTATACTATACTCAATGCATAGAGGTACTGGATCACCATATAAAGTAGGTCCTATGCAGGAAAGTGTGGGAGTCTCTGAAGAGAGTGGTCCTCTGTCACAGCGGCCCACGTGGACTCGGATGCCGTGACAGGATGTGAGCAGCACCTGTCCAGCACCAGGGTTCTGTTCACCTGGGGCAAGTCAGGAAAGGCAGAGTGAAGCAGACCCCTCCATTTTCATGCTTGTGACAACCGCCTTGTTTCAGGAGTACTGGATACACTATTATGTGCTGTGCAGGACTGCAGATTCAGAAATGCTTTCTATAGCAAAGAAGAGACTAAATCATATTCTTGTCCCTCTTTAAGTCTGTCAGGAGCAGGGGAAACTATCCTGAGGGTACATATGTGAGGGATACATAAATATATGTGTTAGCGTCAAGTAAGCAAAGTTTGAGTTATGTCAGAGGCCAAATTAAGTACAGAGCTGAGCGATTAAACCGTGAATTCAGCCCTACTAAACCGTCAATCGGCTAATAATAATAATTACTATTTTTAGAGTACTATATAACATTAAATTATAATAAAAATCTTATTAGATAGTAGCAATTATTACTGTTTAAAAATTTACCCACTTTTCTGGATCTGCAGTAATTGCTTTTCCTCCTGCTTTGAGTTATATGGATAATTACTTCAAACTTCAGTTTTATTCTGCTATAGTGCAGACATAAGTTAAGGAAGAAAAACCTCAAAACCCTGAACTTCTCTAATTATTGGTTCCCCGACTATAAAAGTAATGGCCTAGATCCAGAAACACTTCTATAATTAATACTTATATATGTATATATAAAGGAAGACAATTATATGTAACTGTTTGAATCATCAGAAAACAATTAAAAGCAGCGTAAGTGACATCTGTCCATTGTAACTGCCCACGTCTGTTTGGAATCCTAATTCAACGTCCAGAGCCTCCCGGCTCTTCCTCTGCAAGCAGCCGGTGTGCATGCACTGTGCCCAGCGGTCTGAAATCGGCATCTGAGAGTCTGGTTTTGTGTTTAATACACAGCCTGCTCCTTTAGCGCATTATTTAACTTCAAAACCAAGACTACTTTCTCTAATTGTCAGTGGAAGCCGTGGGTTACTATAGTTACTCAGTAAAGACTGTTACTGAAAAGAAGAAAAGACTAATGAAATTTTAAATGACAGAGTCCAAGGTATTAGGAAATTGCCGCAACAGGGAACCGGGAACTTATCAAGCTGCCAATCACAGTAATTACCGTGCAAACCTATTAGGACGTGGGTCAGAAGGTCTCCTCAGATTTCCCAGACACCAGTGCCACGGTGCTGTGAAATGCTGAGCCCAGGGACACGCGCGGCCTGCCGTTAATGCCTGTTCCCCGAGCACAGCTGCACGAGGACGCCCTGCAGCCGCCCCAGGTGAGGATCTGGTCCAGCACACCTGGAGAACAGCGAGCTGCAGGTGACGTGCTCTGTGACATCACCACGTCTCCCTCACGTCAGAAGGGTGCTGCCCCACAGACCCACCTCTCAGCCGTCTTACAGTGTCTTTCACGGAAAGCACCACCCACTACCACAGTCAAGGACAGATGCAGTCGGTACAAAATACGTAAAAGTCGAACATATTAACATTTGCTCTTGCTCAGGGGGAGGCATCCAAAAATATTGCAAAAACACACAAGTAGATTATTCACCCAAAATGATAAAAAAGGAAAATTTAGTGAATTTTTTAGTGATGTCAGAATGAACTGAGAATCCATCCACTTCACGTCACTGATTAAAACAACATATTACGGTTGAACTACACGTTTGCTAGAGTTGGAAAAATACACCCCCCTCAAGGCGCATCACTGCTCCGCGTGAGTCTCAGCATAACTTGTGAGAAAAGAGGCAATAGTTGCTGTTTATGTGCTAAAGTTGTGTATTTTGGGCTTTTAGGAGCCATAAAATTGATTTAAAGAATGGTTTCAAATGGTAAAAAGAGAAATGCATAACCATTAAAGACATGCAATTAAACGGGTTTGTGTCTCACTGCTTCTTAGTAATTAAGAGTTCACGCTCGGCAAAGCCCCATAAAACCAGACTGAAGACTGAAGACGGTGTACACAAATTAGTAGAAACTCGCACGCGAATCCTCCAGAGATACGACAACTACTCAAAAAATGGGAGACTGGGAGTCAGGGTAGCATGATTTAAGAAGAAGAAACGAATGATTATTCTGGATTGAATTCTTTGCTAGGCTATTTGGTTGGCTCGGTTCTTCACGGTTTGCAGAGTTGTCTCTGAGTTCCCAGGACAGAAAGACAAAGTGGGGCTGCAGGACATCGCAGTGCAGGATACACAGTAAGGCTGAACCGCGTGAATTGTGGCCTTGGAGGAACGGGGAGAGGGACAGAGAAACCGTGACAGAGACATAGTATGAACAACCGCCTCGGTTTTAGAGCAGGGAGGCATCAAAACAGCGTCGTCAGCCCCTTAGCTAGTGGGCAGGCTTGTGGGGGAGGGGGGAGGGGAAACACACCTGTTTCAAAGTCTCCTGCATTTCCAGTCCCTCTCTGCTGTCACCGTCCTGACCAGGAGCAATTGCCCACGCCTGGGGAAAGCAAACCCGTGTTCCTCCGCCCCTTGTTAAAGGCCTTCTGAGATGCCCACTATTTCTCCAGTCTTTCCTCTCCTATCAGAGAGGGCCTGGAGATCAGCCTCAGAACATGGTTCCTTCTGTTCTGGACCATGGGACACTGGTATCTCCTGGAAACACCCACGCTCCACGTCTAAAGGGTGCTGCCACCTTCTGTGTGCACAAAACCCGCATACAAGGACCCCTCGTTTTCACCAACCACTCCAGGGTTTACCCCAAGAGCCTACCCCTTAAATTTCATACGGGCTTTCAAAAGGCATGACGGTTTTCTTAAAAAGGTTCCTTATCACCTGAGCGTATCTCTCTTAATGGCGTTGCCAGATTCTAACAAAATACCTCTTATTTCCTTGTAACAAGTAATGATTTAAACAATTAACAATGACAAAGATTACAAAAGCTAGTAGTACAACTGATAAGCGTTATGACAGGCTTTAAAAAAAAGGATTTAATTAGAAATCTCCCATCAAAAACTGCCGGAAATATATTTTGCGTTGCAAAGTTTTAAGCACTCTCTTCAAACCAACTTTCTTTAAGTAAAAACTTGGTGGTGTCATCAAAGCCACGTTGATACAGTGATTCCATTTTCCTCCTGTTTGGTGGGAAGAGGGCTTGGTTAAGCCTCACCAAGTTGGCCATGGACAACTACGACAGAAAAACAAACAAAGTGGGGCTGCAGGACATCGCAGTGCCGTTCAGCATATGGAGTTCCGGAAGCTCTCCTACCATAGATACCATCACAGAGTTTCCAGAATCGAGAGGAAAAGAATAAAACGTAAAAATTCACCTCCACCCACACACAGGGTGAAGGTCTCTCAGCCCTGGTACCAGTGATGCCTTGGGCCAGGTCCTCCTCCGAGGTGGGAGCTGTCCTGTACGGCTCAGGATGCTAAGCTCATCCATCCTCTAGACTCCAGGACACATCCTAGATGTGACCAGCCACAATGTCTCCAGACCCTGGCAAATGTCTTCTACTTATAGTATCAGCTCCTGCTGAGAACCATTACACTAGATGAAGGGAATCAACATTTTTATGTAAATTATTGTTAGGTCCCTGAGTTTCCCTTTGATATTTTTACATATGTAATTACTGCCACCTTTTTAAACAACTAAAGAACCTAATTCTTAAACCGTGCCAAGCTTCTTGATTTGAAAAGTAAGCGAAGACATGGAAAACATTTCACAAAGAGACAAGTAATGAACCGCGAAAGGACAGCACACTCACGGTCTACAGGTACCCAGGTCCACACGCGTGAAACATGCCAGAAGTTACTAAAAATATGTCTGAGGGAGTTGGCCAAGTTCTGGAAACATGTGGGAAGTGTCAGGAGATGAGCTGTCTTCAAGCACCGGCAGACGTAAGTACCTACCAGGATGTCCTGATTGGTGACGTTAACGTAGAGACCCAGCTGCGCCTCGTCCTGCGGGGAGATGTCCAGCCGTCCGCTGAATGGGGAGATGGTCACCGTCCGGCCCACAGGCAGGATGGGCAGGCTGTTGGTGAAGCCGCCGTCCACCCACTTCTGTGGGGAGAAATGCCCTGTCAGCACGTGCCAGTGACACAGCTCCCACCAGGAGAAAGCGAGCCTCGGTTTCTCAGCAGCACAGCCCCTGCCTTGGAGGGACCCTTACGTTCCTCTTTAGGAGGACTAATCAGATTAGATTTGTTTTGGAAGCAAAGCCAATCTCTGCATGCCTGTCACTTACCCATAGAACAAGAAAGCTGGACCCAATCAGGAAATCTCTCCAATTGTCTGAAAGCTTTAAATAGACTGCTTTACATAAGAAGTACCTAAGTTTTTACTGATGGCCGCGCACAGTAAGAAGCCATGTGTAATTAGATTGGGATTCGGTATCTAATCAGAGTGGGAAGCCACACCACCCCCCCCACCACGGGAGGTTCTATCTTTATCCTGAAAGTGGAAACTGGCATTTTCTGCAGCAAACTTAAAAGTAAATAGACCAGCCAGAAACCCTCATGTTTCCACAGTGGCTCCCAAGTACCTAAGGTCCTCAAGCCGAGAAGAATGAGAAATGGTCTGTAAAGCATGAACAGGACTCAGAGTCTGTGCTTTCAGACCCAAGCCCAGAGGAGAGGGAGGGACAGAGCAGGTCAGGGGAGCTTCTAGAGGCTTCTGCAGAAGTGTGTGCTGAGAAAGGGCTGAAGAAACACATGGCAGTATTCCTTATGCTGTCTGAAGGCAGAAGAGCCTCAATCCGTCCTTAAACGGACGTATTAACGTAATCAGCGCTAACAAGTAAGCAAACACAGGACACTGAAGTTCAAATCCAGTTATATCTACGTTGCAAATGTTCTGCAGCTGCTGTGCCCCAGGGGGAAAGGCCAGTAACTGTTGAAACCCCCTTGCAAAAGAATCTTTTGTGGCAAAAGCAAGGAGGTGGGGTGAGGAATGAGGGAGGGATAAGCATAAAATGTCCTTAAATCAGTTAAAACCATTCTTTTCTAAGATGTCTTTTTAAAAGTACCACATTATTTACAAAGCCCTTGGCCAACCACCAACTCCCCCACAAAGGGAATAAAAGTAAGTGAATGAAAGGTGAAAAATGTGTTGAAAATCTCTTTCTAGGGAGTTCCATTTTGGTGGAGGAGACAACCTAAGTAGATCAGATTAAAATGAACCTGACCTGGATAGTTTGCTTAATGTCATTATTTTTAAAAGAACGTAGCACATATAATTGTACAATTGTATCATGTGCATTATACAGACACATTCATGTACATCTGTGTATAATGTTTATGTGTGTGTGTACATACACACATATATACACACGTGACTTACACACACAGTCTGAAAAAGGGAGATTTGTAATGAGAAGGCCACCAGATAATCTGGTTTTGTGCCTAACTGTCCTGGAGCTTTTTTTTTTTTTTCCCTGACTGCTTTGGGTTTGGATACCAGTTTCCAGAATAGGTTAGTATCACGAGAGGGAAAAAATTACCTTTCACATTCTCAACAGAACATTCCCCCAATGATGTAAAGATTCGCATAGGTTTCATCAAGGGAAATTAAAAGTATGCACCAAGTGTCATTCGGCTTAAATAAGAGCTCATCTGACTTGTCCAACTTAAGGAAAAGAAGGGCATTCTTGCTCATTAAATTGCAGAGTGTTCTAATTTACCATGGGGCTAATGACTGCGGTTCCAGGGAATTGAAAATCCTTTTTTCCAAATTTTGTTCGCTCTTGTTAGCTTTTTGTGATTGGACAAATGACTAGGGAAAACAGATAGCTTATCAAAGGACTTGATTAAATTTTCAGCGTTACTCGCGCCTCTATTACCGTAACCCCGGCAGCTCAGATGCTCTAAAGGCAGTGCCTCTCGCTCCGGATTTATGCTCTCGTGAGCTGTATCACCCCCACCACCACCGTGCATTCAGGCACGCTGATTCCAGCAAAATTTCTGGAAACTATCACAGCAATCAACGCTCCTCAGTACAAATATTTTATATCTCGTGCACTATGGATAGTTTAAAATTCTGCATGTTACAGACTCCTGCCCGTGAATTCTCTGGCTGTTTGCTACACATTCCTGAAAGTCATTCCCACATTCCCACCTTGTGGGGCAGCATTTCCTAAGCAGGGAGCTACTGCTCTGAATCCTAGGATTCCAAAATCTTCCTCAAGAAAAGGAACTCAGGTGGTTCCTCCCATGATGGCTTCACCCTGCGTTTGTTAGTTTCCAGCACAGAGCACCATCTTCCTCAGAGGAACGGGAAGCCACATGCCTAAAAAATACTCCCAGGCAGAATGTGTTTCAAAATCAAATTTGCTGCTGGCCCCACAGCTGCCTTCACTTGTCCTGATAATACCCTTTATTCCGATCTCTGACCATATTCTAAACGTGCTCCATGGTAAGTCAGCTGTCTGAGTCTAGAGAGTTGGGGATAAACAAGTGATCAATAGAAAAGAAAATCTGAAGCCGCAGTCGTGGGGGTAGGGTCCACTGTGGTTGTTCCCTGAGGGTCCCAGCACTGAGAACCAGAGTTCACGGAATCATTCTAAAGGGGCAGTGGCACCTGTCACCCCGCAACAGGGCAGGGTTTTCATCAGTCAGCACTGTCAACTTTTCCTGACACATGATACGTTGTGGGTGCATATGAGGTTTATGACTTCAAGCAACTCTTGTTATATAATTAAAGGGGAAAACTTTAAAACCCAAGGTGGTCGCCTCTACTGAGAGGACCCATTTGTTCATTCAGAGAGCATTTCCAGAACATCCAGTGTGTGCCTGGATACACATTCCACATGGGGATTTGCTCGAGACAGACCCTCGACTCACAGCGTCGTTTCCTTCGAGTATTTTGCTCAAAAACCAAGTGAACAGAAAATACTTTTTTGGAAGAATATTGAATGAGAGGTTCAGATACATAATTATCATAAATTCATGTAAATACCATGGCACAGAGCCTGTGGGTTTATTCAACAGTTTCTCCTGTATCATTTAATTTGATCTTCACAAGAACCCAGTTGGATAGGAAGGTCACGCTGGTAGTATGCTCTGTTTCCTCCTTTTACGGAAAAGGAAACTGAGGAAATGAGAGTGGATCCTCACGCATCTGATAGAAAGTCATAATAACAAGAGAAATTTTACTTCTTTCTGGTAAAAGGAATATAGAAGGTAAACTAGTAAGGTCCCCCTCCTCAAGTCATGCAGGGCCCAGGTCTTTCTAGCTCATTATTTGATATGTAAGGTGTGATCTGTGACCTCATGATCCACAATGGCTGCTAGAGCTCTGGTCATCACATCTAAGTTTCAGGCAGCAGGAAGAAAACAAAGGTATACCACTCCCTTCCTGTAAGTGCCAAAGTAACTCAGCGTACCTCACCTTGGCCAGCACTTGAGTAGGTGGCCACGCCTAGCTGCAAGGGAAGCTAGGGAACGTGGCCTTTTTGCTTCACAGCAATAGGTCCAGCTAAAAACTGGGGTTCTGTTACTAAGGAGGAAGAGGAAAGTGTATGTTGGAAGAAACTAGGAGTGTCTCTCACCTGCACCCCCTTCATAACAGTCTTTACTATTTAAACAACAGAAGTGTTCAGCTCAGTCTCAGAGCCACTAGGCTTATGGGCTCTGTTCTAACCTTGATTCCATCATCCTTCCCCCCCCCCATTTTCTTTCTCTCACTGAGATACTATTTCTACACCCCACCTTCTCAGTCACCACCTCTTAATGTATCCATTGCATCAGCAATTCCAACTCTTGGATTCTGACTCCACTTTTCATGATAATATATAATCTCATGAAACCCCTGAGCATTTTGTGTGCATTTTTTAAAGACACTTAGCCATCTCTGTCGTAATTATTACATATTATAAAGCAACAATGTGATGTAAAATCACTATGTTTCAGTTCATAAAATTAAAGTTCACAATCGTAATGTAAGGTTGATTTTGATAGCATCTTTATTCAAAATTGGTATCTAAAGATAAATGAGTATTTTTACTGCTCTAAGAGGGAAAATACATTATGTAAAATGGGACACCTCTCAGATTTTTAAGTGACAACAAACATATGCTACTTGGTAACTGGGTTTCTGCTAGCTCTGAGACGCAGTATCAAAAATAGGGAAAAACCAGGCTTTCCATGAGCTTATGCTTAAGTTACTTTATATTGCTTTAGAAAAATAAATCAGAGCATATTATGTGTCTAACTGGTCACAAAGATGGTTTTAGCCTGCTGCATATAAGCACATCACTGCAAGTAATGTATCCATGCACATGGCTGATCAACAGCGTCCACACTGGACGTGACGCCCACCCTTGGGTGCCCCATCCTTGTGTCTTACACAGCCTCGTCCAGGTACTCCCCCTCCCCCTCCTCCTTGTCCCTTTTAGACAGCCATTCCAGGAGAGACTGGTTTGGACCAAGAATCCTGTAAGAAGTGCGGCAAACGGCTGGAAGGACCAGGAAAGCTCAGAACAAGAAAGTCATGAGGACTGATGAGGTCAGAACACAGTTCCCTGATTATGTTAGCTAAGAGATGTGTAAGACTCAATTCCTTCGCTGTCAGAGCATTAAGTCATTAATCACGGACTCTCTGCTGGGCCTTCAAAGTGGATGAATGGCAGCTATTACACACTTTCCGTGTGCACGTTTATGCATGCATGCATACAACGTAAACTGAAAACAAATGGCACTTATCCATCCATAAATATGTGCCTGATCTTGAGTAGGTGTTAAATAGATACTGTATCTGAGTGTAAAATGCTTCTCTTCTTTGTGTGTCCAACAGATGCTGTGTTTGGTTATAAAGTACTTAGCTCTGGTGTGTGTTACATAGACACTGTCTGATTACAAAAGGCCTGTCTCGGTTGAGTGTTAGGTAGACACCAAGTTTGGTTATGCAGTGAGTGCACGCCGTGGAGCGGGCTGGGGTAGGATGGTGGACATTCAGTAAGAACCTGGTGCAGGGTGAGAAGGGAGCTGGCCGAAACGCCCTCGGGCAGTGCTGACAGCAGGCTGCTGGTGCGCGCTCTCCTCTGAATGTCTCTAAGGCCTCCTGCCTTCAGGGCCAGGCGCCAGAGAAGACAGCTCTCCTGTCTTCTCTGGCTGTTTCTGCCCATCCTGGACAGACACATCTTGGCAAGTGAAGGCCTGGCTGCCCAGCAGGGAACCCTCGGGGAGGGATGGAATGACGTGTGTGTGTGTGTCGGGGCGGTGGGGGAGCACACCTGTGGGGCGACCTGATGTCTTCCCCCCCCCCCGTCAGTGCCATTCTGCTCCTAGCTCTTTACAGAAGGGGCTGTGAATAGAACTTTATTATGTATATTTTTAAAACATCTTTTGCTCCTTTATATATTTAAAAATAAGGGTAGTTTTTCTTAACAGATGAAAAAAAAGAGAGACAGCATCCCCATCAATCACTTTCAATCTCAAGATGTTGACAATAAAGTACCCCAGCCCTTGTACTTCTTTTCTGCTCAACAGAAACTAAACCATTTATGGAAAAAAAGACATATAAGCTGAGTTGGAGCCACCAAAATAATGATAAAACTATGTCTCTCAAAGGGAACATATTAACAAGGGAAGCACTGCTAATTCGTGGGTTAGAAGAACATACCTGCCCTCTGTACTCCACTGGTTTCAGCCCTGCGTACACCGGCACGAAGCTGCTCGCTAAAAGCACCTGGATGGGGAAAGAAACAGCTCGTCAAAACAGGCACTGCCACTCATACAATGGATTTCCCAGGTTATTTACTATGAAATCAAAAATTGTTAAACACACAAAAATTTACTATAAAAAAATGGAATGAATACGACCATTATGTCAAGCACACAACGGGACACACCTCAACAGAAGATAATATATTTCGTATCGGGAAAGACCTGAGAGAGCTACGTACAATCACGTTCTCTGACTCCACCAGCTTCCCCGGGGTGAAATCGGCTCTTAGCCTGTAGACAGCCGAGTCATCGCAGAACCCCAGTCCACGGAAGTCTAAGCTCTTGAGTGTGTGTAGGTTACAAATAAGTTGTTTACCATGTTCTACCCTACCTTGTCAGAATCATTTTCTAGTTTCCTCTATGTTCCAGAGGCACAAAGCCCTCTGGGTACCACAGGGGAGATGAGTCTGCAGCTCAGGGATGTTCTAATTTATGTCACCAGGATGTCGCTGGGGGAGGAACGCACTTGATGAGCTAGCGACACGGCCTGGATACATAATGAGGCCGTGGCAGGTCGGGGCACCAACTATACTTTATCTTCTGTTTAAAAAGTCAGAAAAGATCACCCTTTAAAATATGACCATTTCTTCCTACAGGAGCAGCTGGGCTCTGGGAGCTTTTCTGACATGAACATGTTTTATTTTGCAGTGTGGTTTCCAAATCGCTAGGGTGCTTTTTGGAAAGATACAGCCTTAGATACGGAATGTTTAAGCTATTATCTTTCAGCCGATAAGGGAAGACTCTATGGCTGTTGGCTGTCAAAGATTTCATGAGATTTTTTTCCCAGCATATATTATCCAGAAATGGATTATGGCCCCAAAATTGATTTGGAAATCATCCATTCAGAACTGTCTAGAAGTCAGAGGGTATTTTCTCCAAAGAAACAATGTTATAGGTTTGATTGCTGAGGTCAGTTCTCAAAAGCTGATTTATTCTGAACCGCAACTAAGCACCAGACCCAGTCACCAGGATAACAGGACTTCTAGAGGACAGGACAGTCCCCTCTGGGTGGCCACCTGACCCAGCTGCACTATGACACACCTGGGACGTGGCCCAGGCCTGCGATGGTTACTCCTCTAATGTGTCTCTTGTCTCCTTGCACCAGAGATCCCGGCGACAGGAAAGGGTCCGCCCCTCTTCCACGGGGTGACACAGCAGACACCCCTTGGCACCTCCCCTTCCCCATGGTATGGATGAGACCCCCGACGCCTCCCCCGCTGTCAGCAGCAGGAGGAGCTGCATCCTCCCAGGTTGCTGGTGCACACTGAGTGCCAGGGAACAGGGCTGCAATGCAACAGCTCCCTTGGAAACGGGTTCCTGCCAGGCGACCCGAGGAGCATCTGGGGCATCAGGTTTAGTAGAAGCAAACTCAGAAGTGCCAAAGCACATCACGGGGCCTCCAGCAGGAGGGAAGAAGGGACAAAGGCCTGTGTTGCTGCACACCTGTGCGGTGCCAGCCTGCTGCTGGGTGCCAGAATCAGCTACACAAGATGGGGGCCCAGTGGGAACTGAGAATGGAAGTGCTAAGAACTGTAAGGTGTGGTGAGCAGAGCAGTAAATCAAAGTACAATGACAACCCTGCACAAGATTCTGAACCTTCTAAGAGGAAGGGTCAGAGCACACTGCCCTTGCCTAGGCATTCATTTCAAAACCTCAGCTTCATTGTGGGGAGGGACAGAACAGGGCGACACTGCGCCATCCACAGCCCTTCCGCAAACACAAAGCAGGAGTGAGAATCCCCTCTGGTGATTTGTGCAAAGCTGTGTCAATCAGTGGGGCAGATGAAAGGGAGACCAAGCACACTCAGGCCCCACCTTGCCACCCCCCGGAAGCCACGCCACGGACAGCTGAGTGTTTCTCAGAGCAAGGCTGCTTACAGTTACGGTCACGGCCTTCACCCTGACCAATCTGGCCCCCTCATCAATTGACTGCTCCTTTAAAAAGTAATTACAGATCCCAGGTATGTTTTGCAAGCACAAGGCAGCTGTTTAATGAAGTTATTTGGCAAAATGCAGCATCGCACCGTAGCAGTCACTGGAACAATTTGTGCACGGTACACGATTGTGAAACAACAGTATTGAGACGTCTTTAACCAACCAAAGACGCTCTATAAATGTAATGGCTTTTTTCACTATGCCACACAGACACATGGCCTGCAAAAAAACCCCACTACCCTTAGAAACAGAATTATGTGAGTTTTCCCACCTGTGTCAAAGTATAACGTAAAGTTCGCAAGTTAACGCTCGGACCTTGCTGTTTATCTATTTTCTGTATAGTAGTGTGTGTCTGCAAATCCCAAACTCCCAAGGGATCCCTTCCCACTCCCTTTTGCTCCTGGTAACCGTAAGTTTGTTTTCTATGTCTGTGAGTCTGTTTCTGTTTTGTAAGTAAGTTCATTTGTGTCATTTTTTTTTTTAGATTCCTCATATAAATGATATCATATGGTATTTTCCTTTCTCTTCCTGGCTTCCTTCACTTAATATGACAATATTCAGTAACTTGTAACAGCCTATAATGAAAAAGAATATGAAAAGGAATACATATATATATATATATCACAAAACTGAATCACTACACTGTACACCAGAAATTAACACAATGATGTAAATCAAATATACTTCAACTTAAAAAAAAAACCACTTAACACTTGGCACTCTTTTGAGGTGTTTAAATGAAAAATGCTGTCCAGTTACTTTTCTAAAGATAATAACAGTCCTCTGAAGTGACGGGAAGAGTGCAGTGAGCTGAAAATCCCTGTCACTCCCCCCAGAATCAATGCATTTGTTCTGTCATAGTTTATATGGGCTGGTGATTTGTATACCAAACTAAGGTTGGTGGGAAAATTAGCTTTCAGTACTTAAGACTAAGGGGCTTTTCTTATTTGTCATCAGCTTATGGCCATTTTATTGCCAGCTAATAGGGTTTTCTGGGGGGAAGACAAAGACAGACAGTCGAGGGACAGTTCAGGAAATACTATGCCTGGTTTGGGTGGAGGACAGTGACACAGAAAGCAGTGGCCTACTGTCCACGCACCATAGCTTGGTCCAGCACTTGAGGCATTCCACGAGTGTCAAACCACCCATTTGGTTTTTGTCTCCTTCTCATCAAATACACAATGATAAAAATCAAAGTTAGCGGCTTCCTGCAGCAACTGTGCACAACATGGCCGAGTGCCTATTCAATACACGTTCAGACTAGCTCTTTTCATTTTACAATTTATAGAAAAGGAGTGTTTAGAAAATTATGTGGCCTGGCTTCCTCGGAGAATAAATTCTCAACAACTCTCATTTATGCCTGAAGTTTACTGTGGAGTTAACGAGAATCTGGCTGTTTATTCAGAACCTGCTGGTGTTGTTGAAATTCAAAGCCAGATTCAAATGTATCTTTCCCAGTCTTCCCAAGATAAAGACCAATCTTAAATTCAGACCTTAGTTCCCCTCCACTGAGGCTAAATGTGAGGTCTTGCTGTAAGAGCGTTCTCGCTGCGTGCGAGGAAATTTAGGACCACATAGCAATGGATACGGGGTTCTTCCTCCCAAGAGGGACACCAGTCTGCATGAACGCTTTCCTGGGAGTGTCTATCAAAGAGCATTCCCGAACGTCAAAAGACCGTCTCAACACACATACTTGGTTTATCAGTTTGAAACACAAATTCAGAGATTTGTACCATTTGCAACAAGAGACAGAATACCACCACTCTACGGCATGGTTAATTTCAAAATCACTTCTGCTCAGCTGTAGGGGTGACATGGGACTTTCTTTGAAATAAAGAATTTACTTCCCTAAGCATGCTTTGCTGAAGGCTGATATTAAAAGCTGTTTGGATTTCCTGATTGCGTGTTTTCTTCTGAAGAAAAATAGCCCAAAATAAAATCTGGAACTTAAAACCAACCAGTTGATCTACAAGAGATATACACTTGGACATTCAGGGGACAATAACTAAAGGGGCCCACAAATAAAGGCATGGCTAAGTGCCCATGACAAGTGTTTGCCTCTGTACCTGGGTCTCCTGCCAGAGGCTCCCCAGAGCTGGAATCACTGCTCTACAGGCTGGGGTCATGGGGTGATGTGGGGGGTGGGGGCTGGCCCCAGCCTCACAGCTCTGCTGGGCCTGGCCCTAGTGGGAGGTCTCTGCAGTGGCCCCGTGCTGGCTGGGGCCCTTGCACTCTGGGCATCTGACTTAAGGAGCCGCCCGGAAGGTCTCTGAATTGCCTTCCTCCCTGTCTGGAACAATAGGTCCAGGCTAGTCTAGAGGGCTGACTAACCTTATCTCCTTATCAGATGGGTATCTGGCCACATGGACACACCTTTCCTGTTGGGTTCTCAACAAGCTCTCTCATGCTTTCCAGTTATGGGCTGAGAATGTTCCAAATCTTTAAGTAAGTCATTTCTGACTTCTTGTATTTTACTATAAGCAGTCAAGAGAAACCAGGCTGCACCTTTAACACTTTGCTTAGAAATTGCCTCAAACATCCAATGTCGTCGCTCACAAGTTCGACCTTCCACAAGACACTGGGACACGAACATAACTCAGCTATTCTTTGCCAGTTTACAACAAGGATGGCCTCCACTGCCTGGTAACACTTCCTCATTTCCATCAGAGACCTCATCAATATGGCCTTGACCACCCACATTTCTCCAAGAAGACGGAGGCTGTCTCAATGGCTTACTGGTTTCTTTCCGAGTCCTCCCCAGAACCACCTACATACAGCAATGCAGGCTTTATCTAGCAGGTCCCTCAAAACACTTTGGGCCTCTGCCCCGTTACTGAGTTCCAAAGCCACTTCCACAGTTAGGTTCAGCAGCGTCCTCACCTCTCAGTCACAATTTACTATCTGACAGCAGCCCCATGAAACAGCAGACTCATGAAAACACCATGGACCAGGTGGTTTGAAAATAACAGAAATTTCTCACAGTTCTAGAAGCTCACACGTCCAAGATCAAGGGGCTGGCAGATTCAGTGTCTGCTGAGAATTCACTTCTGTGCCCTCACAAGGTGGGAGGGGTGAGGGAGCTCTCTGGGGCCTCTTTTATAGGGGCACTAATTCCATTCATGAAGCCTCCACCCTCATGATCTCATCACCCCCCAAAGACTCCACCTCCTAATACTGTCATGTTGGGGGGTTAGGACTTCAACATAGGAATCTGGCGGGTTGAGGGTGTGGACACAAACATTCAGACCATAGCAGGGCGTTAACTTACCATGGACATAAGATGCAGAATACTATGGAAATCCAATCCCAAATAAAACTAATCTTTGGACCACATAATTGGTCAACAGAAGTTCTCAGAAAACAGTTGGGTATCATTGCAGCTACCAAATGGGATTCATTTTTGCATGCCACCAAAAGTGAAATTAAAGTAATTTTAGTATGAATTACAACACAAAGGCACATTTAAAAAAAAAGGCCAATTGTAAAGAGGTATAAAATCAAATGCCTAAAGGCAGCAAAACTCAGTAATAATCCTTTTCCTGAGATTTTATAGATGTAGGTGAGCACGTTGCTCATGAACAAAGATGAAGAGGGGTAAAAGGATAAAGTGTTTAAGAAAGGGTAAATCCTATGCAGCCTGCAGAAAGCTAGGACTTTAAAATTTCATGACGGACTCACACAGGGGTGTAAACCAGTCATGAGCATGCCTTATTATCTTATCCATTCAGTGTTTACTAAATATTGGCTGTAATTATCATATTAGAGGGCTGGACTGTTTCAAACCCACTTTTTACATGACTTTTCCAATTTACTCCCCATGGTAACACTGATTAGCTTCGTGTCTCCATTTCACAGTTGAGAAAACTGAGGCTCAAACATCACCAGTCTCAGAGGACACTGTGGAGAGCGACAGACCTAAACACGAACACTGGGGCATGCATATAAAACCAGAGATAACCCAAGACAGCGTAACAGCAGACACATACTTTAAGATGCAGGTTTCTAGCTGGATTTTCACGTACACGGACACCCTATCTGTAATAAGAGGCAGCAGTCAGCTGGTGGGTAATGAAGAGCCTGGCATTAAAAAAAAATCTAGTAATTAACAGAACAGATGAGCCATCGATAAAAGTCACCAGTATTGAATGCTCTCTCCCATTCCTTTACTAGCTACCAACAGGTACCCGACACTTGCTACCTCTGGCTTTCATCTTAGTCTCTGTCTCCCACCCACGACTCTCCAGACAGTGGAGGTGAAAACCCAGGCTGAGGGGACAGAGCCGGCAGGAGTCCCCGGGGGACTCCAGTTACACACTGTGGCTGCTTCTACTCTTGGCTTCTGGAACTCAGGGCCCTCCACGCTCCAGCTAAGGAGGCGGGGGGCGTGGCAGGGGCTCTCTTCTCTCGCCCACACTGACCCAGGCGGCCTGAGCGACCACCTCGCATAGCGTTCTCCACCGGCCTCTGTCGTCAGAGCAGAGAAGGTCGCACCCAGAGTGGGGTGGGGGGTAGTCTACCTTCCCTTCATGCTTTTCCCTTTTTCCTCCTGTAGTCTTTGCCAGTCTTCCTCTTTGAACTGCCTGCTTCCTGAGAATGCGGGCAGATGTTTCACGCGTTTTCACAGCCGCCATCTGCTGTCAAGGAACCTACACCCTTCCTCACACGAGTTCTGAACAAGGTTAGAGCCTCTCTACACGTTAATTATTCAATTATTCTCCCTACGAGGCGTTATACATTTGTGTCAACTGTTTCTCTTCTGTTCAGTGAACTCAATTACACCAATTCTCTGAATAGTTATTATCCAAAACAAAGCAAATTAAAAAAAAAGTCGTGTTTACTCACTGCAGTCATTCGCTATTGCTGCTATAACAAGTTACAACTAAGAGGCTTTAAAAACACCAGTGTGCGACCCAGGGACCTGGAGGTAAGGGTCCAGGATGGGTCTCACTCGGGGAGAAAAATCCAGGTGTTCTCAGAGGGCTCTAGAGGAGACTTGCCTTTCTGCTCATCCCAGCACTGCTAGAATTCAGTTCCACTGGCTGTAGGACTGAGGTCCCTCTGCCTTGCTGGCCGTCAGAGGGGAGAACCCCCAGTGCCCTCCTCCCACGGAGGCTCCTGCATCTCAGCACCGGCAGACGTCTCCATTTTTAACACGCTGATGGCCATGCCACCCAAATCTGAGTGACAGCTGTGTTTCCTCAAGGGCCCTGTCACCCATGTATTGGCAATGCTTTCCTTCATCCAATTGTATGGAATTTATTCTGAACTTATCCTCTGCAGAATAATGACATTCCAAGAAGAAATAAAGCCGTAAAGAGGTTGAAAATTGAAAGTAAGAAATTACTTTTTAAAACAATTCCAGTTATACTGGAAAAAGAAACACATTAACTATACAGACATATATCGTTGAGTGTGTCACACTGCAGTGAAGTGTGAATCTGGGTCCCATGGGAAACACACCCACACCACAGTGGGTCATCTACGTTCAAGGAGACACGTGCTTAGTTTAGGTATGCGCAGATAACCCGGGATCAGCTCCACGTCTCAAGACCCTCACCTAAACCACATCTACACAACCCTCTGGCCATGGGCATGCCGTATTCACAGTCCTGGGGGTTAGGGGGTGGGCCTCCTTCGGGGACAGTATTCAGCTGACCACACGCCCACATACAAGCCGCTGATAAGAGGATGACTTTATCCACGTGGGGGCAGGTGAGGGATATGAAGAAGCATGTTAGTCACCTGGACTGTCGTCCCAGCTGCACCACTGACTAGCTGGATTATTTTGTCCAGGTCACTGGACTTGAAGGATCCATCGTCTTTGTTCTTTGAATAGATGACACCTTAGTTCATCGATATATTCATTCTCTGAACACCTGCTGACAGAGCTGGCACCGTGCCAGGTGCTGGGAAGACAGCAGTGGACAGAACAGAGCACTCCCTGGCCCGCCCCCTTCATTCCAGGGCAGGCAGACAAAAGCCAAGTCAATAAAGCAGTAAAACACGTAGTATGCCGAACACTAATGAGTAAATCCGGGTGGGACCCAGAGAACGGCAGGGGCTCTGCCACCGTAGGGAGAGCAGCCCTGGGCAGACGCAATGAAAAGCTAGTTTAAAATAACTGGGAGTGGAGTCCCCCTCTTGTTCTGTGATAGGATGACAGTGTCTCGTTCCCTCACAAAGCGGAAGAGGCATTCCAACCCACCACTAGCCTGACGTGCCTGTCTGGGCACTGACAGCTTGTGGCTATTCAGGCATGGAACACCAGCTTCCCCTCTCCCCTCTGCAGGTCTACACAAGGCGGGAACCACATTAGAGAAGATAGCTTTTCCTAAGATAGAACGACCCTTAGTGTGTAAGTGAGAGACTGGCGTAATTGGTACACCGAGTGAAAATATTCTAATCTCTGAAGTCACTAAGTAATTGCACTTGTCAGTTCAACGTTTCATTAGGCATTTCAAATCATATCATTCAGATGTGAAATTTGAATAGTAAGATTCAATAGTAAAAAAATCAACGCATTTATCATCTAATTCAGGGGGAACTTTGAACGCTCACCCTCAATCCATCAGCTTCGGCGCTATCTACACACGCCTTCTCTGCACCACCTGAGGTTTACAAGGATTCTCGCAAAAGGAAGACAAAAAAACCGCCTGGCTTTTCCAAGAGAAGTGCACCTTCTCCTGTTCACAAATATTTAATGTGGTACCTTCGCAAGTACATTGTTATTTGCAGATCAGCTGAAGTATTCCCCAGAGACAATAAATTCTCAACCAACTAACCTTTCATGTGTGCTTGGATCAAAAGGCATCAAAACAAAATGGAGGAAATGATAGGGAACATTAGACTGAAAAGATACGAGACCTGGATTCCCGCTAGCAATCAGTACACCCCCCAGGTGACTTGCATAACATCTTTCCATCTATTTCTTCTGTTAAAAAAAAAAACACAGGGGGTGGGGGTGGGGTCCAGCTCAGTGGAACAGCGCGAGCTTAGCATGCACGAGGTCCTGGGTTCAATCAATCCTCAGTACCGCCGTTAAAAAAATTAAGAGAGAGAAAACAAGAAAAGCAACAAGAGGACAGGAATCACCTGTGTCCTGGCTGGTTTACAGCAGGACCACGGAAGGACTGAGCCTGATGGTACGTAGAGGACAGGAATCACCTGTGTCCTGGCTGGTTTACAGGAGGACCATGGAAGTACTGAGCCTGACGGTACGTGCACAAAGTCTTTCATAAAGAACAAAGCACTTGCTACATCAACGTAAGGAACTGTTACTGCCAGCCAAGCCTATGCACAGGGTAAACGAGGGCCTGCTAAACATCACAAGAGAAAACACGGAGCTACTCCGGGGCTTCTGGGAGCCGCCTGTCTGGAGGTGGCTTCGGAGGAAGCCTGGTTGATCTGTTCATCAGACCTGTACTTTCCCAGCACTTACCAAGTGCGCTCTGCAAGACTGGGTCTAAGGAAAGTGCTGATGCTCACCGCGTGTGACAATTATTTACATCAGCACTTGCTCATTTCCCCCAAAGTGAATTGCGGCCGGGTTACCTTAATGAGGTCCTCCCTGGAGGAGAAGCTGGAGACTAAGTCATTTTCTCTGGTCTTGGTGTTGGTGATGGAGATGTGCAGGCGGTTGTGGGCCAGCTCGTGCGCGTTGGCAGGGAGAATCGACTCCACCCCTCTCCTAAAAAAGAAAAAAGTGACCCGCATGTCGGGCTGCACCCAGCAGGCCTGCAAGCCATGGACTGGCCCAGACTCGTGACCTGAGGAAGAGCCTGAAGCCAGGGACAGGGATGTTTACTGGATGGGGGTCTTACACAGCCAAAACGAAGGGTCCTGGTGCAATACCCCACTGTGCGCTGCAGCCAGCAGGTGGGACAGGGCCGCCATCTTCCTCCTACTTGGGGGAGGAGGCGGTGGCTACCATTTATAGGCGGAACTGACGTCAGCTTGGCTCATCAGTTACCAGGGAAACCAGCAGCTCCCACCCCCTCTGGTAAACGACCACCAGGTGGGCAGGTGTTTCCCTTTAACAAATTGGCAGGTGAAGCCGTTCTGGCCTAAGGGCTGGAACAATCGCTAGCTGGGGTGGGGGAGGGGGCAGGCACGTTCACGTGAGTTGCCCTCAGGTGAAGCAGGGACTGTTGGAGCAGAGGATGTAGAGAAAACAAGAGGACAGCCATCTTGAGGGGCCTGACCGAACACCGCAGGATTCACCTTTAATCTGACCACCTGGTAAAGATTTAAGAGGAGAGGATGCTGACTAAGCTTGCCACAGTTTATAGAGAGCATCCTCCATCTTCACACGCTTTGCGGGGTACTGTAGCCTGTGCATACCTCAATCGGGCCATGAAATCATAGCCAGGCGTTACTGCCCCAAGCAACTGCCTTCGGGTTTCTTCAGCAAACTTGTAAGTAAACTCGTTACATTCCTGGAAAAGAAAATCAATAAGTGACCCTACGTTTCTGCCCCCCAAAAATCATTCTAGTTCCACAGTCCTTCACAGGTGAGCAAATCCCCATGGGGCTTGGTCCTCACCCACCATGCCAGGGCCTCAGGCAAGCTCTGTGCTCTCAAGTTCCAACCTTTTTTTTTTATCTTTAACCACCTCAAATGGCTTTGTCTACCTGTGGAAAATCCTTGAAGGCTGGATTCTAATTCTAATCGAGCATGTTCTTTAATAGATTTCTCCAACACCATTAACCTCCTCTCCCACCCCAGGTCTGTGCAGACGCGTGGAATGCAGCTCTGTGGCAGCACTGATGATCAAGGACAGCACCAGTTACAGAGACAGGAGTGGCGACGGCTGTCGTGTGCAGGTACTGAGTCATGTGAGTCTTTGGAGGTAAGCCTCGGGCACGGGGATTTCACAGATGTCCCCCAATGGGGTCTAGCAGCAGCCAGGGCTGGGGTCCACAGATGTGGCCCCTGTCAGCCCATCTTCATGTCACCCTGCAAGGTGGGTACAGTCACTGCACTCGACAGGTAAGAAACCTGAAGTTTGGGGGTAAGTATCTTTCCCACTGTGTCGCAGGAAACGAGTGTCAGAGCCAGGATCTGAACCCAGGCCTATCTTTCATTTATTAGTCTGTCCAGCCAGCAGTCTGCGGGGCACCAGGTATTGGGACGGCACTGGGATTCGGCAGAGAATGAGCTCCACAGAGCCCTGCCCTCCTGAGATTCAGGAGTCCCTCCATGAGTAGGTGACAGAATGTTAGGAAACACCCGTGTGGTGGGCAGATTCAAGCCCCTCCCTGCTCCAACGATGCCCACATTCTAGTCCCCGGAACCTGGGAGTATGTTCCCGTACACAGCCAAGGGGGCTGCCAGATGATTACATTAAGGGTTCTAAGAGAAGGACTTGACCCTGGATTTTCTGGGTGAGTCCAGTGTAATCAAAAGGTTCCTGCAGGTGAAAGAGGGAGGCAGGAGTGTCACAGCGAGAGAGAGAGAGGTGAGGGTGCTCTCCTTATGACTTCAAGGATGCAGGAAGGGGCCAGGAGCTGGGGAGTGCAGGTAGCCTGTAGAAACTGGAAAGGGCAAGGAAACTGAGCCTCCTGCCCAGAGGGAGCACGCCCTGCAGACACTCTGATTTTAGCCAGTGAGACCTTTTCAGACTTCTGGCCTCTGGGACCATTAGAAAATCAATGTGTGATGTCTTAAGGCTCTTAGGTTTATGGCCACTTGTTGCCATAGCAACAGGGAACAACTACAGTGGGCGCCAGCCTCCAACTTCACTTCCCTGCAACTGGACATCTAGGCTGAGACCTAACATACGGACAGGTGTTGGACAGGAGATGGAGGAGGAAGAGGAAGACAGGCAGGCAGGAAAGTGACAATAGCGCAGACAGAGTCCAGACTGGAAACGCAAGCTCAGTGAGCCACAACACGGCCACAGTACACGTCGCCTTGTAAGAAACCTGCAGCCTGTCCTGAGGCCAAGGGAGCGCCCCCTACACCGGGGTGTGTGAGGGGGAGGTAGGGGAATGAGATATCCAGATTTCTGTTTGGGTAAAAATCAGTGTAAGTGCAGAGGTGGGTGGACTGTGGGCAGCAGGAGGGGATGCAGGCCTGCCTGTCATGCAGCTGCTGCAGACTTCCACGGGAGAAACGGGGGTGGCCCCCCATGTGTGCTCTTTCTACTGAGCCAGACTGCGCACTCAGCTTATTTCTTGTCTTAATTTTAGTTACACACACACACATGCACACACACACCCCTGATGAGACTGGAAACTTATGAAGGAATGCACTTACTCATCTTTGAGTTAGTTCCCTGCTGAATCTAATGCCATGCCTTGCAAATTATGAGGGCTGAGGAAAGGCTGCAGTGCAGAATTTCTAACACATCAACGTCTAAATCTGCCTACACCTAAAATACACCCGGCGTCAGGTGCTCCTCTTAATTATACATGCACAAGTTCGGAACTAGATTAATTACTCACATATTTGTCACACCACCACCAAGCTCGAGGAACTTACACCACCCGGGAGAACTGAGCTAACAGGGACTTGAGTAGGTAGAAGACAGTTTGCTGAAAAGAAAACTCAAAGCAGTCCTACAAGGGGTAGATTTCAAATGCTAAAAGGAAAAGAAATAAACTAACTGCAAGGCAAATGGCTGAAAGCTTACTTTGGAAAAGGAGGAAGGACGATGCCCTAGGTAAATACAGAGAACCATTTCTGACCTTCTAAGGTGAGCACCCAATAAAGACTCACCCTTAGGTTTTACCAACAATGAGACGATATGATGGGGTCTCCAGTTTATTTAAAGTATAAGTAAGAACAGGTAATCTGACTGATTCCAAGCCTCAAGTTCAGGTAAAGGATGCAAGGTCTGAACATGACAGAATTTCACTTAAGCAGCTGTGTTATCACAGTATTTCCAAAACACATTAATTCTAAATCACACATTTCTAAATCTGCTAAGGACTGGAAACCAAATCTACTTAACTCCAAAGCCCAGGGTTTGCTCCAACTGAAGGCAAGCCTACACTAAACAGGCGGAAACAGCCCCTGAGTAGCCCTGCTTCAGAAAGGAAAGGAAGAAATGTGAAGGAACCAGCTCACAGCTGACGGTGTAAGGGAGCAGGACCCAATGGGCCTTCCCAGGACAGACATGCCCCCTGCCAAACGTCTTCCACCTGCCTTTCGTCTGCAGAAAAAGTTTAGCCAAAGAATAAATCTAATCATAGAAATGGAAAAAATGTAGAGGCAAAGAAAAGCAGTCAAATAGGTCAAAATAATAGTTTAGCCATTGAGCAAAGTCAAGGATCTGGAGTTCTTGACTGAAGTTACAGACCTCAAGAGCCACAGATCATATTCTGAGCCATGTCCTTTGAGCTGTTTTGCAGATACTGGAACCCTCACCAGGTGGAAGATGTTACCTGCATGATGACCAGACTGTAGCCACAACATAAGCTGCTCCATCTTACACAGTTCCAAGAACTGGCCTCGAGGAAATGGGAACAAACCGACCCTAGAACTGAAGATCAGCTGCACTTAAAACAGTCAAGATGACGCTGATCAGACTACCGCGCGCCTAACTTCAGGGTGATTGCGTTGAATGTGCTGTTCTGCACATGGCCCCTCCCTCCACCTACACACCCCTGAAATTCTTCTTTAAAAGCTCTTGCCCCTGATCGGCAGTGGAGAGTTGGTTCTTTAGGACATAAATCCACCTTTTCCCCAGGATTGCCGGCTTCCTCAGTAAAGCTGTTTTTCCTTTTACCCAACACCTGTCTCTTCATATTGGATTCTTGAGCAACGAGCAGCTGAACCTAAGTTTGATAACAAGAACACACGATTCTGCCCGTTTGGGAGGAGTTTTCACATTTCATTTATGCTTTCCCTGACTTAACGTTCTCATCCCATACAATCACTAAAGGTTTTCATCACTTTTCTAGTTTCCTAGAAAGCAACTATGTAACGACTGGAAAAAAAAAAGAGATGTCAATTTCTGAATAACTGGCCTCAAACCCCATTTGTCTTCCATAAGCAGCTCACCATAGAGCTGAAAACAAGATTTTTGGCGTTTAAAATGTCACTTTGAAAATTTAAATGTGACTTAAATTCACTCTTGGGCATGAAAGTGTTAATCATTATTTGATGACTGTTCCAAGCCACTAGAGTACGTAAGTAATTAACAGGTATAATATCCTCCACCTGCAGAAGCCAGTGCCCACAGTCAAAGAATGCATGATGGCTGTCTAAAAGCAGAAAACACATTTTAAAAACATAGTCTGCACTAAACGAAACACTTAATGAAGGCTTATTTTTATTACTTCTAGATAAACTTGGAATTCGGGGCTTCTTCTTTCTGTGAGAATGAAAAACAAACTAAATTCCAATATCATTCCACTCAAAAGAAATTTCAGGCTCACATTTTAGCTTACAGGCCTGTCTTTAAACAGGACTGAGCAGTTATCAGCCCCTGTTCAAGGCCTTGAGAACAGGCCCCGTGCTCTTCTCATGATCAAATAAGGGAGAAATATCCTTTGCTTGAAAGAAACGAAGCTGGAATCTTAAGACTAAACAAACAATTCAAGAGTAAAATAAGGCATTTACTTCCTTGTCTTATTGTCACCCAAATAATCTTTTCCAAATGCAGAACACAGATCCCCAGTGACTGTATTTTAAAAGAAGTCTCAACTTTTTCTGTTTCCCAGGCAGATGATTATTTTTCTGTAGTTAACAGTATCGTTAACAATCATCTTCGTTGTTCAGTCTTAATTTCTTAATGAGGAACAGAGCCTAGTTATTACTTAATTACCTCTATTTTTTCTGGCGCTGTTAGCAGGACGGAAGCAACCAAGGATCCTGCAGAAGCCCCCGCAAAGGCCTTGACATCCTTCAGAAGCTTTTTTCCGTGTCTGCGAAGTGCAGATGCTGCCCCCAAGTGGTAAATGCCCAGAAACCCACAGGCTGCAAAGGACAAGTTGATGTGCTTCATTCTAGCTGCGAAACTGGAGACACAAAAACCAAAAATGCTTTAAGTTGGTGTGGTTTGTAGTCGTTCCAGGGCTTTAAAAAAAAAAAAAATATATATATATATATATAATTCATCTGTACTAAGCACAGTATTTTCTATTAAACTCTAATTAAACACCTCAAACTTTCAAGGAAACATTTTCTTCCCCCCTCACCTTAAACCAATATAATCACATTAATTAAAAAAATTTTTTCTACAATAGTCTATTATTTGTTCAGTACATGGGTTACGCAATCTATTTTTTAATTACTTGGTAAAAAACCAAATTTATAAATTCCACCGGCAAGGCGTTTAATCTTTTTTCTTGACCTTTGGGAATTTGAGGGGTGGGGTATTGTGGAAAGGTAAAATCATTAGAGACTGCAGCAAATTCCAAATGTACCACCCATCTGCCCTTTACAAGTGTACCAGTCAATTTAAAACAGTTATCTCTGCTCTTCACTCTTTTCCATTGGGAGCATCCGTTTAAACGGATGCTCACAATTATTTCATAATGCAACACTCAATTATTCAGCAATGCAATATATTTCATAGCCAAGCTTCAAGACAAACTGAGGTCATGACTGGCAAGGGCAACTGAAGGCTCAAAGCAATGTCATCTGCAAAGCCTGATACTTGTAACAAACCTAACTGTAAAATTGTTATTTCCGAACCCGCAGCGGGCATGATTACACGACGTGTATTAAATAGTCCCCCCTACCCCACCTCGCTGCTCACTTGGCAGCCCTCAGGCCTTCCTCCGCGGCCCCAGGACCCTGATTCCCAGACCTTTAGATGGGGCACTTGGCCTGGGCCTCGAATTTAGGAACCTAAGACTGTTGCTCTGACGCACCGAGCCGGGCCCTGTGCGGAAGGAGGCTCAGCCACCGCAGCCAAGCCTCGGTTTTGATTTAATTACTGCAGAAGGGAGGGGAGAGACGGTGAAGTGAGCTCAGTCTCCAGGCGGCCGGCCCAGGGCGCGCAGGCCCAGAGTCTTTACCCCGCCCACCCCACCGCGGCCTCGGGGCTGCGGGGCAAGGACAGCCGCCACTACAGCCCCGGCGAAGCCTACTTGCACCCGCTCTCCCGAGAGCCGCCTCCTGGTGCTGAAACCAGGCCCCCGCCGGCCCTGCGTTCCACCCTACCAATGCCGGCCTGAGGCACTTCCCTGTCGAACAGCCTTCTCCAACTCCTTAACCGGAAGGTGGGGCCGGGCCGTCACTCAACGCGGCCCCGCCTATCAGGGCTGGACCACGCTCGCCTTGCGCCCGCCCAGGAATGTTCCGCGGAAGGGGCTGAAGACGGACTACTCGCGCGGACCTGTGACGTCATCACGCCGACGCGGGCGTCCGCTGGGCCCCGCCTTCTCAGTTTAAAATGCTGGACTCAACGTGCCGGCGCGCGCTCGGCCGCTTGACCCTGGTGTCCCCTATCGCTGGTAAGGGATAAAACTTTCTCGTCTCGAGTCATGCTGTCTTCGGATACCTAGGAATGCAATTTGGTGCCTTCGCGCCCCCTGCGGGCCTGCCCTCACCTCGAGTCGCTGACCCTGAACGACCCTCATTGTTGCGCACCGGAAGTGCTTGACCCTCTTGGGGTCACTTTCCCGGATGTGGGCCCTCTCTTCCTCACCCTCGGGGCGGTCCTGCGGTACCTCAGGGCGGGGTGCAGGAGCTAGACTGGGACCGAATGGCCCACAGCTTTTTCCCTAAGCACTATTGGAAAGGCTTTGGGCAGCGTCCACATCCTCAACCCGCGTTAGGCAGTGTGACCCTAGGCGGCTTGTATAACCTCTCTGAGCTTCCCAGGTGACTAACCTGCAAAGTGCGATAGTAAAATCCCAGTTGGCGCCATAAAGCTCATGCCGCTTCATGCCGGTTAGTGGGCCTTCAGCAGACCAGCCTCTGTTGCATGCTGTGGCCCCACACGCTCTGGATAGACCCGAGAAGCAGCTTTAAATGGCGGCCAAGTCGGCTGACATTCCCACTCAGATTCAGAGGACTCTGACAATTCTTTCTCTCTCTAAACAATGTTTTTCCCGTCCAGTCCTAACAACCAAGCCAGGAGGAATTGCATGCTTTATTGGTTGAAGGTTCTCCAAGTCCCCTTAAGGACAGATTTACTCTCAATTGAAGCAATAGGGGAGAATCTGAAAAAATGCAAGTGTCTCTACCTTCAGCATGAGAGGAGTGGGGAGCTCCCCAAATGGCCTTTACCTTGGACCTTTTCCTTCTCTCCCGTTTGGGATGCGAGTAACCTGGGTTCTGGCCCACAACACTCTTCTGTAAGCAAGAGCCCTGGATGTGATGGCTAAGGAAGAGATTTTGGTTTTTATTCTCATGTATAGACTTCTCAGATAGTTCGAGCCTGCATTCACGGTAATGCCTAAGCATAGCACAACTACAGTGCTCTATGAATTCTTTACTGCCTTTAGAATTTAGTGAAGGGAAGGTGAAGTTTATCTCCAGGAAATACAGAAGGATAAGCTCTTCATTCTTTAACCCTTCCACTGCCTTCTGAGTCTGGTAGAGAGTGGTCTTCTCATGAGAGCATCTTGCAAGAAATTTATTAGGAGGGAAGAATCCCAGGCCTCATGTCCGGTCTCCTGAAGCAGAGCCTGCATTTTAACAGAATCCCTAGGAATTGCTATGTATGATAAAGTGTGCGAAGCCCTGGTCTAACTCCTAGGGTGATCTGGTTTAAAGTGGTGTGGTGGCATCAAAAATTAAAGGAGAGACAACATCCTTAGAGCCAGAATCTGGGGTGGTGGTGGCAGAGCAACTGTTTCCTGCATTTGGGCACTGTCATCAGGTCAGTTCAGAAGACGGATGGAGAATTTGTCACTGGGGCAGCCAGGAGGAACACCACAACTTTGGGGTTTTTTGCTTAAAGGAAAGGTGAGACCAGCTGTTAGTACCACACCTGCCGGTGAGTGAAATCCCACTAAATTTAAATCTCATATTCACAAAGCTCCATAATTTAATTCTTAACATTTTAAACTCTATAAAAAGAAAAACTTCCTCTTTTTTTTTTCTTCTACCCTGTATCATGTTTACATGCAGCTAATCAGAAAGTTCAGGAAAGAAGAATATCAGATTCATTCACGTTTGTCTTTGTAATCTCAGAGCTGTGCACAACGCTTGGTGCATAGCGTATGATCGATAAATATTTGTTTTGATTGTTGGGTGTAAGTAAATTACTCTTCTGTTGTGAGTATGTTGTAATTGAATTACCCTTTAAGGACATTTTTCAGTAATTCATCTGTGTGTTTTTTACTTCTCTATTTTCCTTAGTAACTTAGTTTTGAACTGGTTTGTTAGCCATCTATTAAGCATCCATTGTATAACCAACACAGTACTGGTACAGGGCAGACAAAGGTGACTAGAATTCAGTTCCTCTTCAGCAGCCCAGGGGGGTGGGGAGACATCCGATATGTAATGACCAAGTCGTAATCATGTGCTAGGACGAGGCCACACGCAGGTGCTCTGGGTGTGCACGCGGAGCTAGGGAGTGGGAAACCCTTAGCCCTGGGGACACCCACCAGAGCACTTGGCACAGAAACTAAGTGCCCAAGACTTTCCCTGTCTCCATCTTCCTCCCAACAGATTTCATCAGGTATTCTCATAAAGAGGGAGAAGGATACAGGGTGAGGGATGCTTGCCACACCTCTACCCCCAAGGACCGAGCCTTATCTCCAAATCTCCGGTGTCATCTCTCGTCCCAGTCTCCTGTTCACGTGGTAGTGTTTTGTTTTCCAGTCTTGGCATCGTAACACCTGAGAACACCCCTGTGCAACCTGCCACCTTGCCCAACAACACCCTCCGCCTCCCTCTGTTTGCTGACCCATCATCCCTGTCCCCGCCTCCCAGAATCTCACATGCTGAGCCTGAGGAACATTAAAGATGACAGGCGCCAGCTTTAATCTCTGGCCACACTGTCGGAGCACACAGCAGCGCCCCTTCCACATGGGCACTGAGGTAGTTCGTCTGGTCACCATGCTCTGCCTGGTGGAAGCAGCCCCTTGTTTTGAGTAGGTGTTCACAGAATTCTGAGAAAGGCACTCCTGCCATCCTGGAATAGAACATCCCATGTGAACCCCCTGAGAAAGAGGCCACATCCCTTCCCCTGGGTCACTGTCTCCAAGGACCAAGGGCAGGCGGCCGTGTGGAGAGGCCAGCTGGAGAATTAAGACAGCCCACAGGGAATCGGGGCTGAGGAAGGGAGAAGCTGGTCAGTAGGTGCGATGGCATTTCCTGAGCCCGGGAGGCAGCTCTGACTGTCCCGGGCTCACTCCCTCCTCGCACTGACCCTTTTCTATTTGTTTTCTTAAGTGAGTTAGAACTAACATTCTAAATCTTGCAAATGAAACGCTTCTCACTAATAGAAGTGCATTTTCTGTTGCATCTGCTTTCTCTGTGCTTGAAATACGCTGCAAGGACTGACCGCTTGACGGAAAAACAGGGAATCTTTTCTAAATGGAAGAGTAATTTTTTCAAAAAGTCTATGAGTTATACATGTCATTTACATTTCTGTTATGTGTACATATACATTTAAATGTGTATATATAACAAAAGACTCAGACAACATCTGAAAACAATTCAAGTAGGCATCCTTAAGAAGTGTAATTTGCTTGTGATTGAGTACATCTAAGGCTGTACAATAATCTATCGCTCTGAACATGGCATAGAAGCTAAGTATCAGGCTACTTCTATTAAAGAGAAACACTGAAAAAACCATAATCTTTATTTATAAGCTTTATTTTTACTTAATATGTGAGAGGTTCCAAATATAATATACATTGAACTGAGAAATCGAGATGGAAAGATTTTCTGAACGTTTCTCTTATTGCATTAGAAGTACTTAATTGTGGGCTTGCGATCGATATTCTGCAAGAGTGTGAGGTAGAGCAGATAAGCTTTCAAAATGTTCATACTGAAAAAGTATCTTTTATGCAAAAAGGGCTCAGATCTTCGGTAGCCAGGCGCTGGTGTTCGGGGTGACGGTGGGACTGGAGTACCGATGCACTACCGAGTCCTAAATATTTTTAAAAGCCTAGTAAAAGAAAATCTATGTCCTCTGCCCTGTTTTCTTTGTTGCAGAACAGCTATGCCCTTGACCTGGCCACTTGTGGTCCACAATTGCTATAGATGGTTGGAAATAGTCATTCTTATTATATTTCAGATAATTATTTTCCAGTGGAAGGGATTACTGGGGAAACAGCGTCAATGTCAAAAAAAAGGGTATCGCTGAGTGATAAATGGAATGTCAGCTTTGGTGCCTTTGCCTCCTCAAATGCACCAGCATGCTACTCTGTTTTAGTTTGGAGTACAGGATCTAATTATTACTGACTGATGCTTTTTCAAAAGAAAAACTCTAAATTGCTAAATCACCAGCTATCTATTCACCTCATTTCAAAGGGAGAAAACAAGAATTTGGATCTGCTTTGTGTCTGCATCCACTCCTATTGACTGGAATCACAGTATTAACAATGATTCCGCCGATTGACTGCCCATTCCGTACCAGTCTTTGCACCCATTGTCTCCCTGTGATTTTTACAACAGTGATGATAGGTGGGGATTTACAGCAGATGAGGAATTAGGGTTAAAATGACTTTTCCATATCCACACAGAGGGGAGATGGTCAGCCCGGGTCTCCCTCACTTCAGAGCCTGTACACAGACCTTCCTCCCCTACCCTGGTTCAGAAATGACCTCACAAGAGTATAAGCTCGTGTTATGTGCCCAGCATGGCGCTGTTTGGCCATCATGAGCCTCAGAACCTTGTTATTCCTTCACTTCTTTTCTTTGGTCAGAATGTGTAATTGGTCTTCATATTTAGATGTTTACAGTTTTACTAAAAAGTGGTAAAACTTTATGAAATGTGATGTATGAATTTGTTTATTGATAAGATAGGAAACTTGTTTGCATCTGGAAAAGAAAAAAACAAACAAGTTCAACAATTCATTAAAGCTACCCTTTCTGCATTTATCAGTGAAAGCAGTCACTTTTTTTTTTATCACTCCTTTTCCTGGAAGCTGTGTCATAAAGTAGGTCATTGTATAGAGAACATAATTTCCATTAGGAACAATGTTATAAAAAGGGGGCCGTGTCATTGACCAAGGTCCTCACTCCAGATAAATCATATATCCAGTCAGTTGTCTCCATGCATTTGTCACTCTTTGAATAAACTGTAGTGTCTAGTATATGACAAGGACTGGACCGAGCACTAGAAAGTTTTTTTTTTAAATCTTGAGATAAACTGTCCATTTTTAGTTCACTGTTTTTTCTTGCTGGAATGTACTTTCACATTTTTCTATTCTGTGAAGTCCTCATTATTCTTCAAGGCGTAAACAAATTCTACTATATCTTTTTGGATGATATTTAAGCACCTTCTGTCAATATTAACCACACCCTCCTCTTTGTTACCCTGCATGAGGCATTGCAGTAAAATGTGTCACCTTTTACTTTGCATAGAAATGTGGTTGCCTCTCCTTCCTATGTTCAGAGTTGGTTTGCAAGAGGGACTGTCTTGTACTTGGTTTTCGCCAGCATCTAGAAGGTGGCTAGAGCATAATGAATGTTTGTGAGAGTTGGGAATGTTTAGTTGGTATGTTTCAGATATCTAATTGGCTTAAGCAAGAAGAAAATGGCTGGTTCAAGTAATCGGGAGGTTTAGAGGCAGGACTAACTGTAGATATGGCTGGATCATGCATGCAGTGGATGCTAGAAGGCCACCATTGTGCCATTTCCTGTCTATTGTTCTGGGCTTGGTTTCATTCTGCAGTCAGGACATCCCCAGGAGGCTGCTGGAAGCCTCACAGCCTCTTAGAGTATCAGTGGGAAAGTTCTTCTTTCACTGCCCAGCTCTCAAACTTAGAAAAAGACTCCTGCTGGTTCTATTTTTGTCACATGCATGTCCCTGGAAGAGTTCACGTGAACAGCAAATTGTGATACAATGATGTGAGCCTGTGATGGGGTGGGCGAGAGCCATGCAGACGATGGACAGGAATGCAGGGAAGCATTGCCAGGTCCAGATGGAGGCACTGGCGCTCCTCCCTAGGAAGAGGTCTGGCAGTCTAAACCAGCATATCCCCTGTGGATCTGACAAATATTTGTTGAATTAAACAAGCAAAAGTGCGGCTATAATCTCTATAGAAAACAGAGAAAGTTGGTCCTTTAGGAAAATAAAACAGCGTGATACATATTCATCTGGTGAGTATTTTCCCAAACAAATAAGAACACAACTGTGATGTTTGGTGCACTGAAAAGTTGGTTGCAGTTTTAGATGCGTTTAGATGAACAGTACACATTATTTGGCGTAAAGGTTGTTCAGCATTGAATTAACAATAGTTTTGCTTGCCTTTTTTGAATTATATGGGCTTTTTGGGATACTAGAGATGGCAGAAGACGCTTGTTCACCAAGTCACTGTGATTTGGATGTGAGTGTTTCCCTGTGATGAATTTCCCTGCAGGAAGCTGTAGATCTCGGAGTCCTAGCAAGGATATTTTTCACGAATGGGGTCAGAGAAGTAAATGCTGAGTAAATGTTTGTTTTTGAAAGTAGTTGACAGCAGTGACAATACCCTTCTACCAAAAACATTTTGTACAGTAGAAAGCCCAAATATCTTCCCATCATCCCTTACTGCAAAGCATTTTGGAAAAGAGTATAGTCACCATTTATTGAGTTCCACTAATGGAGTTCATATTTTATTTTAAAACCAAAATTAAATATACCACTAACACAGACTTTCAAAAACATTCTTTACAGCATCTTCACAGAATTTCTGAGACAGAAGTGAAATAATACTCCAGACTATACAGATGCATTCCCTATTTGGAAAACTGCAAAACAAACTGGTAAAATGGGTCAGAAGTCTGAAATGGAGGTCAGAGTGAAATTTTGAAAGGACCCAGGCTGATGTGGAATTTCAAAATCTCCTGTTAGGGCTTGAGTTCTCAGAGCACTAGCAACTGAGTGGTGACTGTTAAAGTGGGATCGTGTTAGGGAACCGTGTTTGTTGAATCGTATGGACTGATTCAGTTTTTCCTGGGGTAAAAAATTCCCAAGCTCTGATGAACTGTCCTAGATCCCAATAGACAGGTATATTTAAAAGAATGGAAACACAGAATTCACCCTCTGTGAGTGAAGGAGATGGCACGTTGACAGTCATTCCCACAGCACCCACTGTTTGAGGAAGCCCACATGTCCAGCCTAATGTTAGTTTTGAGTTTCTAAATTCCCGTACGGAAGCCAGAGAGCACTGTTTATGCTGTCATTTTAAGCACCAGGCTTTCTTTCCAGTACTTCCTTCTGTCTCTCCTCACCTTGAGGGAGCATGGGCCCACTCAGCATGCTTTTGAAGGGCCATGTGCAGAAAGTAAACTTCCTAACAGAGTCGTTGGAGGGGCTGCCAGTCCACATCTCAGGTAAAAAGCAACTGTAAAGGCAGAGCCGTAAGGTTAAGGGTCTCCAGAAGGTGATCGTAATTCTGAAAGTACATTTTCCTATCTCTTCACGTATGTTTATGCCAAATTTTATTTTTGTTCACTTTTTTCAGACACTGTAAATTTTAGAAAATTAACTCGTCGCCAAAGATGGCCATGTTTTCCCAGTTGTATCATAGAAAAAATTCGGATTCTGTGGGGGTAGGAAACATTCATAAGAGAACATTTAGAATATCAGTAAACTTAATTTCACCATTCTGTGAACATAGACCAATGTAAAGGTGATTTTCCTTCTGTTAGAAAATAAACTAAAGTAACATGTTTGCTTAATGTCTGAAGAGAAAGGCCTCATAACCAGGTAGACAAGAGGCTTCATGTCACTAACCCCACTTGTGCTTCTACCTAACGCCCACCCAATGTCTGTTTTCATCAGATGTTGACACATAATTTTTAAAATCATAGGTGTTCCCATTATTCATGTGTGTTTCTTGACATTTGACTCATAGCCCTTTTTTTGTTTGTTTGTTTTGTACTTTCTATGCTAGAATGGCAAATCACTTAGATACGTTCTGCAGCACAGAAACTCCACAGGTGTACTTTTTATTCGCTTTGTATTTTGATGCTTAGAGGAAAGAAATGATGCCAAAGGTGTATTCATTTTTGTTTATTTAACACACACTGCCGCGGTCCTTACTGTTTGCCTCTTCTGACAGCCTTGCATGTGTCAGTGCATTTGACATTCCCGTGAAGCCGGCGGGGTCGGTACCCACGGCAGCACTCACCTGGCAGGGATGGCAGAATGAGGCACAAAGAGATAACGTTGTCGAGATCACACTCCATCACTGGCAGAGCCGGGATGCGGCTCTTGACTGCTCTACCAGGCTGCCTCCCCAGTGCCGGCTGTACAGAAGCAGATGTGCACTCAGGGGTGTTCACCACCATCATCGTCTTAAAGACGTTGATCAGGGAAGCTGGTGATGATGTGGTCCACCTGCACCTTTCCATGATCTTTAGA